ACGATCACCCCGGTGGTCCAGAGATCATGGTAGACGTCGCCGGTCAGGATGCTACCGATGAGTTTGAAGACATTGGGCACTCAAATGATGCACGCATGCAACTTAAGCTTTACGAAATTGGAAAAATTAAGGGTGATGTCAAGAAGGAGGCAATGGCCACTGCCACTAGCACAAGCGGCTCTAAGGTCTCGGCTGGCGGTCGACAGGATATCAGTGACCGAAATGGCCCAATGTACGTCGTTTTGGCAGTGGTGGTGGCTCTAACTGCTTTTTACTTTAAATATAATTGAGCGACTAGACCGCCGTAGAGTGCAGGGTACAAAAAATAGATGGCTGGTATATGTCAATTAACTCACGGCTGGAATAAAGTCTCGTCTCGTACATACTTACGATAATTCTGATTTTGCAAGCTACTCGAGAGAAGCTTCTCGGTGACACGCATAATTAAGACCTAATCTGACGCTTTGGAGCTCTTGGCAGCGTACAGCTTGTTCCATTGCGTCTGCTCGTCTCGTTTATTCTCTTTTTTAAGCGCATCTAAAAACATACAGTTCATATAAAGCAAGTATTACAGTCAACTATTGCTAAGGACGTACAGGATTGAGCATCTATTCGTAAATTTTCGGCACGTCGCTTCATCTTCTGTGAACTAGTTGAGATTTCTTGCATTGCTAATTGTATACCCTGCAGTTTCTTTGTATAAATTGGTAACTTGTCTAGCACCGCTGCTGCATCTTCAAGTTGTTCGTTGGACGTAATACCTGCGTTCTGTTCTGTTAAAATCCTTAATAACCGCTTCAAAGGCACCCCATTAGCATCTCAGAAAGTCATACTTCATTCAAATCACCCAGATACCTGCTGACTCTCCTTTAGCTCGGCTATACGATGGATCGTTGCGTCTATGGAGGGCCGCACTGTGTCAACAAATGCATCGCTCATAATTCTAAGGCCGTCTAGCGAGTCATCCACCTCCCACAATAAATGCTCTCTTTCTGCCGAAGCTTCGACTTGTGTCCGCTCGAACTCCATATTATTCACCTTTTCGGTCATGCCTTGCTCTCCAACCTTATGCTTTTCTTCTTCCACATATACATCCATCTCCTGTCGCACCAGTTCTTTTGACTTAATAATTTCACCTTCTTCGTCACTCTCTTCTTTGCTCTCGCCTTCTGTCCCTGCCGATGGTGTTTTGACAATGGGGACATCAAAGCGAGTGGACTGTGATGCATAGTCGTTCAGCTGGAATCCCATTTCTAATGTAAAGTCGACAATAATTAGCAGCATATCCAAAGAATAATTATTCGCATCCTACTGCTTACCTTCCTCATCTTCGTCGTCTTCTTCGCTGTCTTCGCCTGCCAGCACGCGACCACCATAACTATCTGTCATTTCTGACTTGCAAATCAAAATACATAAATTATATTATTAGCCAATTAAGGAGTGAATACATTCCATTCCATCTACTTGTTATCAGTGTTACAGAGAAAGATGCAAACGGATGAAAAAAATGAGAATGAAAATGTGGATGTTACGGACGGCGTCATTACACTTGACAAGGTGTCGTTGTTGCAAGAGAGCGTAGACAAGACAGCGTTGAGCATGTTCAACGCGCTGCGGCTACTACCACTCGTGACAGGAGACGAAGCAAACAAGCAAGAGGCTAAGGACGCGGTGCGGAAGCATGGCTTTCTCGAGATTAATGTTTCAATTAATGTGTTGTTTTTTGGATAGATAATGACGCTAGCGAATGATGTTTTAAGAATGGTGCAGGAGACCGACGTTCTTATTGACGACCTGCCAGGGCTTGACAAGACGGAGGCGTAGGTTTCCTTGAAATGGGCTACAATTCAGTTTTGACGAATTTAATTGCTGCAGTGAACAGATGGAGGAGATGCGACGGCTGCAAATTCAGAGTGAGGAGGAGGCACAAAATTTGCGTCAGGTTGCAGAGGAAGCAGGTAAATTGAAATAGGTATTCTGGAGGGATCGAACTAATGTTTGATGGTTCCTGTTGCAGAGAGGTGGATGGAGCGTTCGCGCGACTCATTGCGAGTAATCTCGGAGACGCGCTTGCACCACTGAGCTATAAATATATTTCGCATACTGACCAACAAGTATATTCCATATCACTCGAAACTTCATCACACAAAACGACAAAGCATTAATTAGTACAACAAATTGAACAAATGCACAAATGGCATCAAATTGTATGGTAAATGTCTCTGCAACCGGAAGGTGACAGTGCTTGTTCGATAAAATTCTTTGGGTGCACATGATAGGAGTGTATTGTGACATGCAAGTACGATAATATGCATAGCAATCCTTCTCTTTACAGGAACATTCTAATATTCTTGCAAACTTGAATTTTGGCCCAACACAAAGTGAGAAACTCTATAGACTCGGCAGTGTCGTGGCATAAAGTATCGCCATAGACAAGGTATCACTTGCTTTGGTAAGGTGCAAATTATAATCTGATCTTCCAACACGAAAACCATAGCAAAAAATATGAAACAAACTCTCTTCCGTATACCACACACAGTCGATATCATTTGAGACAAAAGAGCAGTTGTGATCTCCAACCGTGAACAATACTTCAAACGCATTATTGCTACTCCCATATCTCCGGAGTCAAAAACCTATTTCCAAAGATAAACATCAGATATGGAGCCATTTGCGCTGGGCACATGACTTCGAATAGCTCCAGTCTGCAAGTTCTGAGTGGAAATATCCAGTCTTGTGGCACTCTGAAATGCTTCACTACCGTTGCATTTGATGTCGTCGTCATATCACTATCTTCATCTTCTTCTTCCTCCATTTCCACATTCGGGCAGTGCACACATCGATGCCAGAATTCGGATGGTGTCGGTCCCATGAGGCTCTCAACAACAACTCCGTTTCCGACCTCCACTTCCTGAATCAAAGGTGCCGTCGCTGGTCTTACATCATCCTTAAATAACCCCTTAAAATTCTCAAACGCGAAAATATTGGCATAAAACCCGAATTCGGTGTCTACGAACCTCGCAGGCACTCCAGACGAAGTGGTTCCAGCCCTATACAGTGAGCTATTAAAAACTGTAAGCTCGTAGCCGTCTGGCATCTCTATCACATCATCACTTGTGGTGCGTAAATACTCCAAACCAGACATAGTGATCCCAAAATCAGCGTTGTAATCCCATGGCACAAGCTGCTGTGCCCTATAGACGCCCAGTAAGGTACCGCTGTCGATCCAGTACACCACATTTGCGTTCTCCAGCATCACTTTTAGGGAATATACAAGATCTTCCAGCGCATGTAGTCGTTGATCTGCCGTAATACACGTTCCTCCTTTAACGTACCGCACGTCTCGGTGTGTATTGGAGATGCAGCGACGTAACAAGCCCGAAGATGACATTTGGTCACTCGGTGGACCACCTTTAAAATCAGGTGCATACAGCAAATAAAGTCCGAAGAGAAACATTTGTGACGCCAGAATAAACGCTATCTTAACCTCTCGTCGATGAGAATTCATCGCGCATGATCGTAAGGATTTCGTCTTATGCATAGCTAAGAAATGGGCATTGAATGATTGAAATACTAAATCATTTAAATATGAAGATTTTTATAACACAGAACAGACAAAATATATTTCAGCATAATGACACAAAGACTTATCATTGCGGAAGAGTAACATTCTCAAAAGCTTAGTCCTAGCGTGTGAGTTCCGGTAGCGTAAATATCGGGCAGTGGTGGCGAGGTCATCTTGCTGCGATTTTTCCGACTAAAGTACACACTGCGGATGCCACCTCTAGCCGTTTAGATTGCTACAAAACCTGATAATTTCCACATTTTAGGCAAGTTCGTACAAAGCATTTAAGCCCTTTAGAGCCTCTTCATACACGTAAGCAGCATTAAACCGAGGATTTATGCCGTTTTCGTAGAATCTGAATATATCTTGCTGGTCATTCATCATTTGTTTTGCAACCACATTCTAACTTTCCCAACAATGTATCCGACAGTGTGCAGCCTTCTCACATAGATATTGTTTAAATGAATCTATCTAGACGTGCACTTTGTCCCTCGGACTGAGATTTAAGCTCAGACAGTCATGCCGACTACTGCTGCGGATGGGGAAGATGGCACTTCGAGAAATATGTGCAGCGGGGTTGCCGAGAACTTTGCATGGAAGAATAATTGACTCAAAGAGCCCGCAGTCACAAATGTCCAGAGATTGAGTCCCTTCATCTTTATAAACCCCGGTAATCCTTGGCCTTTGAAAATTTACAATTAAACAATAGTGTAATTGAATGTGTACAATATTACGGTACTGATTTGTTACCGTTTAGCAAAGAAAAGTGTGAGGACTTCCCCGTTACACCTTTCCTACTAAGATGTGTATTTAAAAACACAGCGCAAAAGTGAATGCTCAGCGAGCAAACCTTTGCTTAAAGGCTAATGCTACCCTTTGCAGTTTACCCTGGTTGCTCCTCTAGCATATTCGTCCCGGCTTAACGATCTGTATAGGGCGTAGTCCTCGTGACCGAAACTTGAAACTATTTTTGGTGAGGATACCGAAGTTCTATCCGCGTGCTAGCTCTTGTCGAATACTGTCACACGTGCTCAACGACACAGGACCTGGTCATTCACCGAGAAGGATGCGAATGCAGCGGGTCTGCCGTAGCTCTTTACTTAGAGGGAGTTTACTTAGGTCACCGACCTTACGTTCTAAATTAGAGCAACAATTCGCTACCTCCAAGAGTATCCTAAACATTAAACAAGGCAAAAAATACTCTTCTGCTCAAAATTAAAACTGATTGTATTTGACTTATTTGCGACAGAGCCGTCTATATCTTAAACCTTAGGTTTACCTAATTAATCTGCATAACTACCGGCATCCCGCCACTTAGTGTGACTTCTTATTACGGTGTAGCCACACCGTTGTGTGATATCACCGACTTGTGAAATCTACACCTGTGTACGGTCACGACCTACCCTTCCATAAACGGGTACGTGTAACCCCTTTACAGCTAACTTGCTCTGCCTTCTCTCTGCACGAGTTACATGCTCTTTGTCCATTTTTATTGGCGGAATGCTGCTGTAACACCTCGCTGTATGAAAGCCGAACCTGAACATGTAGCCCAGCTTTCATAAGTATAAGCATCACGTAAAAGCATAAGCCTCACCCCGACTCGTGCCCCCATTGTCACGTCGTTTTTGTTTGAAGATGCTCACCCTGCGGAGGTAGCGCTTTACGTGCGGGCCTTTCGCTCACACCAAGAGCAGAACGACCGCCTTTTCGAGCACTTTCTTCCAACACAGATTTGATACTCTCCAGGGGTATTGCTGTGCTGGAATGAAATCATGTCAAGATATTCGCAGTAGGTTTTCAATGGGGTAATCTGTAAACAGCACGAACGTCGATAGTATCTTTAGTTGCCTTATCAATGATCTGATCAGCCGGCAGCTCTGTTATCTTGATGTTGGGTATTTGAAGCTGGCGAAAGTGGGTATGAGTATCTTCTGACTTCGTACATGGATGAAATAAATACACGGTTTCACCTGTTTTAAGCCTAACAATCCAGCTTTGGCAAGGCAGACGTTTGACTAGATGGTAGACAATTGCTTACTTTTGAGTCGAAATAAAGACCCGTCACTTCTACCTGAAGCCCCGCTTGTCGCTATGCGACAACTATAACATTTACTGACGTAGGGTCCTTTTTTACAAGGTCGGTCGTATCCTACTGCTGAAGAGAGCGCTGCACCGGGCAATCCTGACACTCCGTTAAACGGTAATAAAGACTGCGCTCTAAGCGGCCGCGGTACCAGGGCAAACTTGCCGAAGTGGGGTCGCACCTTCCAAGCGTTTTCAAAACTAGATTGTCGCTTCCATTTTACCAGATGTTACAGTTCTGGCGTATCTCACGGTTCACGTTAGGTTCCACGTAAAGTTTGACACGCTTAGCTTATCGAGCAGTGCCGGCAGAGGAGGCTAATTCTCATGAGGCATCACAATTGAGGCGACACGGTGGCTATCTCCAAGGGTCTTGGTGTGTGAGAACTGAGATAAAGTAATTTTTATCTCCTGTGTGAAGTACACTGAGCAGTCTCAATTGCGTCGCTACTTTGGAGAAAGAGGTACCTCCGCAACAGTGGTAGCAAAGGTGCTACCCCGTATAAAAGGCAGTTTTACCGTATCGACTGTTTTGTAAGAGCGCGATTGTGGTATGGCTACAGTGAGTCCAAGTAAAACGGTTGCCTTCTCTTCAAGAGGTAAAGAGTAAAACTCAACTCCTTTATCGCTACCAACGGAAGCGATCCAATGTAACGCGATCGAAAGTCGTCTTCAAAAGCATATATACTGCATGTGTGGTGTTTAGATGGATTCAATTGCCCAACCACATTTACTTACCTCCGATATCAACGTGTGGCTTTGCAAACCCACGTTTTCTGTCATCGCGTCGCGCACCCTGCGCATGACGCTCAAGATGACTGATGTAATAGCACTGTTTCAATTCGAAGTTTAGTCAAGATTATATTGTTTGATCAAATTGGATCGATAGCACCTCCATTAAGACCGGAGTTACTTTCTGGAGGAACCAAAGAGCAACCAACCAATATATGAAAGGAATAAGGCCTGTAGAAGCATGTACGCAAACTTAATGGGTGGAAATTAATCGCTTCAGCACCGCGATCCTTCCGTAAAGGGGTTAAGGATGATACCTTCACCACGCGGTCATCATATTCTGTCTGGCCATATGCTTGCCTATGCTTATCTGTTCATGTGATGAATCTGATGCCTAGTGCCCTGAGCAATGTTTGCACAAACTTTGCTGCAAAGCGCGATTATCTATTTGATACAATGACTACCTCAGAAATAAAGATGGACCACATTGTCGTAGAATAATTTGGTTGTATCCTCACCAGTTACAACATCGCTAACAACAAAGAGATGAGCCATCTGTTCAGACAGTACACAAAGACCACAACGTCGTTACCACCGGGCGCATGTTTTTGAAGACCAGAAAAAGGCTACCCTCATGAGCTGCCAACTCTTTGCAGGAACCGGCAGGCTGGCCAAAGATGCCGTCGCATGCGACGCTGGTCTATTCCTGGTCTGATTCGTTTTTACAGCTCACACGTGCATACATATAATCATACCACTTTACGCGATGGTCAATTGCTCGCCGAGCGGTTTCGAGATACCGCACAAACTGATCATCGTACTGTATTCTGTCCTTTATGAGCAACACTACACGCTAAGTGCCATGCGAATCAGCGCGATAAATTTTCAAGTATACAGAAAGTATAGCTGTGTAGGTGTGCAACAATGCGGTTTGATGAAACGGCATCTCAATACTCAAACTTCTTGATTTCAGAAGCTCTCACAAACGAAATACACGTTAGCTTCATCAAAGTGCAACATCACCATCATGGCACGCGACTCTTCAAAGTTGATGGGACGTGTAACAACATCGACACCAACTTTAAACGACCAGGCTTATACCATACCTCAATGTATACTCGATAAAGAAGATAGCATTCGCTTTAACAAATCTGGCAAATGTATCGCTATGCGCAGCAACTCATGGCAAGCATAGGTCACAAGCGGCTTGGAGCGAGAGGTGCACTTTGAACTTGACGAGGGCCTACATCATAGATCCTTGTCATATTCATAAACAGATAATTTTAATGTAGCTATCAGCCGGCAAGACTCAAACGCGATCAGCGCTCATGTCGAATGGCATCTGCTTGCACAAAAAAAACGATTTATCGCCAAGTCGAAAATATCAAATTCTAAATCCGAATCTGGAAGGGGTAGAATCGAGACACTTATGAGCTTTTCGCTTACCTTCTCTTCGGACGCACCGCCACACCATTTGGCATCCTTCCGAAAGAAATGGTAAAGGGTCAAGCCATGTCGGCATAGTTTGCACTTGACTTTTGCTGATAGTTGCTTAAGCTAAACCACTACCTCGCATCCTTCTAAAACGCGAGCATTGGTCTATCTAGAATTGCTGTTGTCAGATCGATCTGCTTGCAGGCCCTTCTTCTCAGCTTGAACTCTCAGGAAGGTAATTTCCGAAATGGCACACTTTTTCATCATGGCGAATAACTTAAGCTCATAAACTTAAAGACTGCTCAACAATGTTTACAGAAATATTTAGCAGTCATTTATCCGTGCTCTGAGCGGCTACGGGCGGATGTTTTATTCAAAAGGATCATACATAGCCACAATTTAGCTTAACGGTTGCGCTATTTAATGGTTGAACGTGGGTGGTGCAAAAGGCAGTTCCTGTGACATGACCACCTGCCCAAGAGCATCTCGCTCAGAGTACTCACCTCAGAGAGAAGGTTTTAGCTGTCTTACAGCAGCTGTTGGCATCTAAGTCGAAAGCACTTACCAGAGCGTAGCCGACTAAGCTGGTCTACTACATTTTTGAAGAGAATTCAGCATTCGCGTCGAAATTGTGGCTGCATTAAGCATATCATTGGCATGCACGATTCGCCACTTACCTACAGCACCAGGTGTGAAATGCGTAGCATTTACTCTTACCAATTTCCAGCCAATCTATGGCTTGTGGCTTTCAAGCTACGCCACACGTAAAATAAATTTAACCTAATTCCAGAAGGAGATGACGTTTACCTTTACCACTATCAACGTCCAAAACTTCACTTGAAGGTTTGTTGTGATCGTCGACCACTTTACCAGTGTCCATGTCATACTACACACGATATTGAGAGGTTACTTCGAATCTTAAATACCTCTGCGTAAATCTACTGCTTTTTGACACTCGCGCTTCGAATAGCACAACGGTTTTTTGGGAGCTAGACTTCATAGATTACGATAGATTATTATTTGTTAGAATACAGCTCTGCGTTCAGTGGGACTCGACATTTTTTTCTGCGGACGCCCTTGCGTTTTACCTCGATCCTTCATTTCCCTCAGCCGGGAGCGAAGGAAGCAGGTTAAGTACAAACCTCACGAATCAAACATCAGCGGGTGTCGCGGGGCAAGTTCACCGAAAACCGTTACATTTTTCGGTACGGCCGAGGTTCATTGACTCCAGAGCGCAAAATGTAACCTTTTCGGCCCTCGCGTCATGAAAGTTGAGCTCTGCACTAAGTAGTTCCCGGTCACTCATAAAAAAGAGGTAGATTGAGCACCGAAAGTATCGGTTTGAGTCGCATTTGAGATTTTCTATGGTGATAAAGGTTTAAAGACGAAAATTATTTGTGCCCGTTTGATAATCCCAATCTAACCTATTTTACAGCTGCTTGGTGGAAGTGTGTCATTTTCGTTGCCAAACATGCTAAGGAAGGTTGTAATTGTAGCATCGATATCTAAGCAAGATATTGCCGCTCATAATTTTTTCTCTTGTCCGTTAAAGGGTAGAAGAAACTTTGAAGCGCCTCATACGCCAGGCGGAGTGGTTCGAACAACTTCTATGCTGGAACGCCTCTGTCGTGCAGAAACTCCACATCAATACTCATTTTTACTCGCCTTCCTATCTTGGAGATCACACGCACGATGCGGTATTGCTTCGTTTGAAGCATAGCCATTTCAACGGTCTACTCAGCTTCCTTCGTCAATAAAGGGAGTTTTTTGTTCCAGCCCTAAAAGGCTCGGTGGTTCAACACTAGCGACCCGGGTGTATGAGCCATCTATTTTGTCACCGATGCTTCATTAGGGTATATGAGGAGGTAAATCACAAGCATATGACCGTAAATGGTGAGCGCCTTCAGGCCAATACTGACCGCATCTGTCCTTATTGCCTCCAGATCCCTAATTCAGCCAAACCTACGGATAAACGCAGCCTTTTTAACCTGTTCTAGTTGTTTCGACGACATAAGCTCAAACATTACAACTTTTGGGACAACAGTGTTGCTGTGCATTACCAAAAGAAAAAGCTTCGACTCAGAGTGGTCGTGTTAGCGAGTGTACTGTAGTCAATATGTATGCTCCATACAAAAGTGAAACCGAGAGCCGCTGACGTAACTTCGATAAAAGTTAGCTCTACTATACAGCGAGTTCATAAATCTATGATTACTCTTAAGTCAGATACTATAAATTTTATTATTTACTGCCTTTCACCATCAATACTGTTTGACATGCGACCAGTAGCCCACGTGTACCAGGGACCTATCCTTCACGGAGCTCCTTCATCGTAGAAAATTCCTGTCATTATGCAAAGTGAATTTTCACAATTGCACCGTTTAATTTAAATCTATTGTACTTATAGCGAAAGGTACACAATTTTACCATACTTAATCTAATATAAAAGAGGTCCGTGGGGGCGTGGGTTGCTAGCTAACATCACGCTATGAAGTACGTAGAGTTGAATTTATAAGAATAGCTATACAGTCGAGTTTAGAATTTGTTAAATATTCACTCAGTGCTCAATAAATGTTACAATGAGTAATTACAGAGCAGTACCGAGTACTTATTTACTGTGAGGCCCTCGGATGTGCTCCTGGGTGGAACTACAAATCAACTATGCGTGTATTTGTCATCGCTGTCTCAAAGCGTCAAACCTTCCTCTTTGCAAAGTGACGGCAACAATATTAAACTGACTAGCCCTTGTGTCAGTTCAATGTTACAACCTTTCTAGATTGTAGGATGCAACACAAATTATTTGACAATTTGCCTCCGGTACATCTAGGCACACTTAATGAGCTCCTGTCCTTGGTTGGCCCCAAGACGATAACATAACTGGTGACCAAAGAAATGAAAGCGATAGTCGCCTGCCTGGAACGTTCTCTAGCACTAGGAATGCGCTTGTGATTTGCCTCCAGAAACACCTTGAGCAGCGTCGGTGGGAGCACCGCCACCTTCCATCGTGCGGCCGCATATTTAAACCGTCTAGCCCTCCAAAGTCAGAACAGAAAAAGCCTTTTTCCTGAAAATGAGAGTATGTGATGGCCATTGGTGCTCATGCTCAAAGCGGAGTATAATCGTGTTGTGTGTGCAGTCTCCAAAGCAGACATCGCGCGCGTGAATGGACACTGGCGTGTTGTGCCTCTGTAAAAAAGCCATTCCTTTTATGGGAAGTACTGGAGCCACAGATGTTACGGATAGTTGCAGACGTACTGTGCGCGATCATCATTCTCAATCACCTGACAATTGAGCAAAAAACGTACTTTGTCCAAGAGCCACGAACATTTATTGCTGCTGGATGACAGACCCACTCCTGAGGGTGGTATCAGGAACCATCTCCAGAAAGGTCACCGGACAGGTGCTTTTCACTGAGACCTTTATCTTTCAATAAATTGCAATGACATCTTCTCTTCTCTTCTCTTCTCTTCTCTTCTCTTGAGTACAGCTTCTGTGCTGTGTCACGAGCCAACAACACGCGCGTAATAAATTTCCGCATTTTGCAGGTCACGATGGGTTAGCGTAATTAGCAAATAAGACACGGAAGTATTAATTGCTGGACTAAATGCGTTCGCCAGCTGTAACAATGAGCTGATAAGACTTCTCCAGAAAAGTCTCCGCCAGACGCCAATGGAAGCACTACCGGTTCCCACCAATCTCTACAAACCGAGGCCATTCAAGCTGAACGTTAGGCACTTCAAGGGCAGATACGAGTGGGTAGTTTCCTCTGTATACGAGGATCTGAAACGGCAAAAAATACGGCTCAACTCTAGGGTGAGCAATTGTGAGTCACGCTAGCAGTCGCTAACCTTGAGGTCGTGCGCGAGAATGGGCATAAACGCGCGGTACTTTCATAAACAAGCCTAGGCACTACTCGGATGATAGTGGCTGCGATTTTTTCAGGCTGGACGCGCACAGTCCAAGGCATAAGAGAGACACAAGCTTATAGCCCAACTTTGCTGGTTGTTGCAATCAAATTGCTGGGATTGATGATGTCATGGTAGAACCCGGTAGTGCGTCTCACACTTATTGTTGACGTAGTAGTACCAAATGCAGTAAGCAATATACGAGACATTAGAAAACATCGTGTGTGGATATCACTTCTCTGTGTCTCGCGACTGGACACTCGCCCAAGTGTTGACGACTATTTTGTACCTCAGATAAATTGACACTGCCAACCTGGAGCACTGGTCCCGAACTTGGAGCCGAAACACGATGCCATTTAATATCTGAACTTCATGAACCATGAGTTGGAGCTTTTGGTATCGCTCACTTCACTTCTGGTGTTGAACTAGCTCATGCATGAAGTTGGTACAAGACATAAAAATTGTCCGGAATATTTGGCAGCTGCATTGTATGAAATCTCGAGCTAAATACTTAGTTTTTCGTTGATGATACATTGTTGGTCACTTTTTGACCTGTCGCCAATATTTATCTTTGATGAGGTAAATTAAAGCGCTCTGAGCTAGGATCTTCGGAGAATTTCTCTGTTGAGACAAAACAGGTGGTCAAATTTAAAATCTTCGGGGTACAGAAATATCGCGACGTGATGAGGAACGACTCGCTTCGGCTGTTACCCTAAGATCAGAAATAACATCAAGTGACTGACCTGTTAGTTAGAGCCAAATATCAAACCACATGTCTTTGGCTTTTACCAAAAGATCTTTGTGACAAAATAGAATAATTCATGAGGAACACGAAAAATGATTAGTGAGAAAGTTACTATTTTGCTTGGTGCCGGCTTTCGGCGTCAGAATGATGACGGCGAGTGATGCAAAATGCATGCTTCGATAAGCCAAATGCTGCCACTATTT